TAATTTAATTTAAACATTCCTTTCCGGTCATGAGCGCTTGGGCGGCGCAGAGGTGCAGCCAGATGGATGAACCCTTTCATCGGCCCGAAGAGGAGATCCCTGGCGGGCCAAGAGAGCGCTTGATTTGTACTCATGGAGACGGCATCCACGTTGGAGGAGATCAGCGACTTGGGCGGAGCAAAGGTGGTTCAATGACTAGAATCGCTCGGTGAATTCCGTCGCCAATTCAATGACTGAAATCGTCATCTAGAAGGGAGGTCGTCTGTCCATACTTCTCTCCCTTCAATTCCGCCCAACCCATCATGATATTCTTCTTCGAATGTCAACGAAATTCTGAGATGTGGTTTTTTTGTCTCTTCAATTGTCGGCATGGATTGCAGAAAGAGGGGAATGAAAGACAGGAAAGAATGAGTTTCAGGAAAGAGAGCGATGATGGGAGGGAGATACGAGGAAGCTATATCTGCACAATCAATTGTTCGATGACTCCTTCTCAGGTCATTAGGGATAGCTCTATCTCAGTCATGGCTTGTGTTCTCATCGTTGCATTTTTATACAACTTATAACTGTAATTTCGTTGAGTATTGAACTACATAAAATTGCATTTTAGACTGCCTAAACCTATATATTTGGATGAGTAATTAGTTGCTGACAACCTTCGTTTTATATGGCTTAAAGCTGTGATTTTGTTGAGTATTGAGCTGCTAAAACATGTTTTTGTAAAGTCTAAAGCTTTAATTTTTGAAGAGTATTGCAGTGCTGAAATCTGCTCTTCTGGTACATACAGCCTAAACAAAAACAACATGTCGGTTTTGGGTAGCCAAAGAAGACACCTTTGTGTAGTGAAGTTATGAAATGTCATATTTTTTAACATTTCTATTATTAAGGTGACCTACTAAAATAAGCCCAGTGAACCCCTCGCTCCCTCTTCTTATATTGGCATCCCTTTGTAAGTTCTTCATCCTCTCCTAATTAATTTAATTACATATTTCCTTTACATTTAAATCCAATTCATTCCTAAATTACCATAGTTTCTTTTCCTTGATCGCCTTGTTTCTTTGTTTCTTTGTTTCCGTATTCTTTGTTGGATTTTAGTTGTCATGTGTTTACATTTGTACCTGTACCAGCCAACTCTAATAAGAGAGGACTCCAAGTAACGGTTGATGCTGAAAAGGTGAAGAGGTGGAAAATGAACAGGAGTTTTAAGCAACAATGTGGAACTATTCTCAAAGGCCTAATGACTCACAAACTAGGGTGGGCTTTCCTAAAACTTGTAGATCTTGTTGCTTTGAACATTCCGGATGGAGTATTTTGATATATAATCACTAACCCTATAGATCTGGGCATGGTTAAATTAACGTTAAAACACAACTTATACTCCAGTATTGAGGAATTGCTGATTTCAAGTCGATATTTGCATATTGCATGAGATATAACCCATTGAATGAATATCATGATATTGCAAAGGAGTAGAACTATTTTTTTCAATAAAAAAGTGGAAAGTAATGGAAGCGAAGTGGAAAAGTAAGAAAAGAAATGGTGAACGAGTTGCCTTCTGACAAACAGTGTATACTAAATAGTTTACTCATAATACTCACATATTCACCTAATCTAACCCCGACCATTAATCAATATGCCTAAATGGTCTTGGGCATTTACACGAACGCGCATCGCGCGTTGCTAAACAAGTATATATATATATATATATATATATATATATATATATATATATATATATATATATATATATATATATATATATATATATAGGGGTGAGATCACATACTAACCATTCCTCCCATGCTAACCTACAAACTATCAAAAACGGTGCATCTTTACATTATTTGTACTGCATATTGAAGTTCAAAGTGTTGCATATTATTTGTACTGCATATTAAAGTTCAAAGTTTTGCATATTGTTTTTATTGCATATTGAAATTCACAGTGTGCATCTTTACATTATTTGTACTGCATATTGATGTTCAATGTGTTGCATATTATTGAGTTAGTAAGTTAGTATTTTAAGCATGGTTAGTATGTGATCTCTTATCTATATATATATATATATATATATATATATATATATATAGATGGAGTATATATTTGACATTTACGGAATTGGTAACCTGCGCTGCTACACAGTGGCGGATTTATGATTCAAATTTTGGGCGTTCATTCTTTTGTACAATTAAAATTTGAAAGAACAATAAATAATTAAATTTTTGCATATATGCTTGTTGAAATTTATTCCTTCAATCCGGGGGCCCAACACGTAACCCAAGGATTTCACGTGGTAAAGTGTTAGTGAATATGAAATGTAAGCAAGTAAGATGAGTTAAAGTATATCTGCAGCAGTGGGTCGTATCTTATTAAATGATATTAAGGGTCTGTATACAACACACTAAGCCGCCTGGTCTGAGGCCGATCGTGTCTTTATCGCTAAGTAAGAGCTGAGAATAAAGCTAGAGTGCTTGAATGCTAGGGAGAATAAGTTGTCAACCCTTTCCAATGAAATAAATGCTACTATTTATATTACCAAGGGGTAGGTAGGTGCGCTGCGCGTGAAGGGTTGTAGATGGCTAGGCTCCCAACCACCAAATCTTTAGCATTAAATGTGCTTCCCGCCAGAATCTTGGGTTTCCCGCCAAGGCTTGGGGACGAGCGTTCCCCCGAGTCTTGGACCTTCTCTCGGCGATGGATCAAGCAAGGGATAGGAGCCGAGCATCTTCTGCATGTCATTTGGTTATGGATGTTGGAGTGCACTACATAGCCATAATAGCAAAGGCCACTGAGGCTGAGCATCCTTTGATGAGACGTTGGGGATAACTGCCCCTGATGGGCTTCGGAGCCTAGCGACGAGCGTCTGGTGCCCCTTTCCTGTTAGGCCTTGAGGATCTTCATTTAAGGGGATAAATGGCTGACCCTTGGTTGGGCCATTAACCCAACAATACTAATATGTTTTTTTTTTTAAGTTTTAGCCCTTGAACTATAGTGGTTCCGCCACTGCTGCTACACCACCAACGGTGGCACCAAGCACAACACACGTCAATAGCATTAGTATATATGTTTTCTTTTTAAAGGGTAAATCTATCCTAAATGCATAGTGTGTTGCTTTTCATTTGTTTCTTTGTCTGCAAGTGTGTACTATGAATATAGTTTATATATTGTTGAACATGCATGTGATTTAGTTTTTATTAGGTTACTCACATTTTGCCATTTTAGTGTACATGAAAGACTATACTCCCTCAGCCCCCCTATGATTGCCTCATTTTTCCTGTTTTAGATGCCCCCTATTATTGTCTCATATCATATTTGATAACATTTGTGTAGCTCTAATTCATTATTATTTTATTCCCACTTTATCAACTCATTATCAACCATATAATTCTACTTTTCTTAAAAACCACACCACTCTCTTCCGGCTCAATATTAGGGGGCGGGGGAGTAGGTTTTAAACTCATTTAATTTGGGAAATTAATTGTTACCTTTCATAATTATATGCCTAAATTGATAAATGAGTTAAAACTTATTTAGTCTATCTAGCACATAAGATTGAAGTTTTAAACAACTGTTTAAGATACATTTTTCAAAATACCGGGTCAATTAGGATCAAAATCGGACTGGACCGGAAAATTTGGGCCTAGGTCAGTCTGGTCTTTAGTATAAGGCCCGGTCTTCGGTCCAATTAAAATGATGATTCCGATTCTGGTCCAAAACGGTTCTGGTCCGGTTTTAGACCGGGGCATACCCCTAATTGTTATACAGTGGGAGATGTCCATGGTGAGTATGATACTCACACAACTAAAACACGCACGAACAGTAACACACTTGAACATTTTTTTTTGTTTCAGTAGTAGGGTAATGTAACTCGCGTTTAAAAAAATGTAACTCACGTTGATGAAAAATGAAATGCCGGTCACTTGAAATGTAACTTGTCCAATATAGAAAATAAGAAATTCAACATTTATTTCAATTCAAACAATGAAAAAAAGAGTCTGATTGTTCAATTACTTTACATAAATTATGAATATGTTTTGTTTATAATATCAATACCATTAAAATTGTAGGAGTAATATATACCAAGAGACACTATTAAATTGATTTTTCATCTGGAAGCTTCATAGTTTTAATTATATCAACAACAATTGAAGCCTCATCGGCATTTGTCGTGGCAAACATTATACTGTCATCGCGAAAAAGAGAAGAGATATTTATTTGAGGGGCACCCCGACACTCTAACTCCATGCATGTAAACGCCCCTCACTATATAGTTTTGGTAAGTTTTTCTCCACAATGTCAAAGAGACCGACTAGATGTTTACATTGCAGGAAAAAATTTACCAAAATTGTATAAAATCATTCAAATAAAGAGAGAAATAACTTATTTGCTAATATTTATGTGATTATCTCTCATGTCACATGTGCATCGTGCATATTCTAGCATTGGAGATCTCTAAATTGGTGCACACTGCCTTGCACCGTTTACATTAATTATAAATGAATAGCTTATACTCCGTAGTAATTACACATTCCATAATCTTCTCCACCCACATATTGTCAAATCCCATCTGAATCATGGCTTGTTTGATAAATCTCCAAATCTAAGAACGCAATAGGTTAAAAGTTGGTTTGCAAACGCTTTAAAAAACATTTATCGGCTTTTCGCTTTAAAAAGCACTTCTTTTACCAAGCACTACAATTTTTATTTTTCTTGGCTTTCGTGTCAAAAGTGCTTTTACTTTTTCTATTACACAAAAAGCACTTATTTTACCACACACTACCAATTTTTACTTTTCAAAATCACTTTTTTCTCAAACACTATCAACTTTTATTTAATCACTTGTCCTCATTTCATTAAAAAAAACATTTTTTTAAGCAGAAGCTGTTACAAACAGACACTAAGCATGCAACAGAGTTCGCATGCTTTTATAGAAACAAGTGCCGGCCTCGTAAAGGTGAATGTTGTTCCCTTGCTAGTAGCTATAGATCCCCCTTTCCTCCATCTTGCTACCTATAATTAATACGCCTCTGATTTAAAGGTATAGTACGTATCATTTCCTTCCGACGCCCAAAGTTGGAAGCATTCATCCTCTTATCTATTTATTATACATCGAATTGATCTTGTTCCACTGAATCTATTTTATTTAGATGAACACATATACTCTTAAAACTTGATTACTTTTCAACCTTATCTATCTGTCTTTCTAGGAAGAATTTTATAATAATTAATTTTGTGAGAACCAAATATATGTAGCCTTATACTTCAATCAGCAGGTTGGGTATGCTTTGATGAAATCTGATCTGGTGGCTCGAGCTCTTAGCTAGCTAGCTTCAAATCACAATGAATGCCTGGAAGAAGATTACCTGCCTATTCCTGGTTTTTGTGATATCCATGCTGGTTTCACTCTTTGGTATTTTTTTTTTTCAATTTTATCTATTTACATTTGTGACACCGTTTTATTACTAATACTATAACTTGCATGCACAGTGATATTATGCATACAAAGACATAGAACAATAAATTAAATGGCCAGATTGCTTCAAAATTATATTTGCCTCTTTCATTTTTATCAACGGCATGATTTCTGATTTATAAATTATTTTTTATCATATTCAGGTTTACTTTTTTTCTTTAGCAATGTTTTTGTATAATATTTTGTAAATATTACTACGTATGATACTATTAAGATATGTAATCACAAAAAAATCCCAGATAGATACTTTCAGCACCAAAATACTCACTGCTCCGTTGAAATAGTCAGGGTCATTTTTTTCAATTTTTCTTCTTCTATATACTTCGTATATCTTAGTAATACTTTTGTCATTTTTTAATTCATAGGCACCCTTATTTAAGTACCCCTCCAGTTCAGAGTAAAACTCACATTTTGAACTTATGCTCCCAATTTAATCCATTTCAAATTATTTTTACAAATTACTGTTAATTTTGGAAATTAAATACAGGACAACAACAACATCTATCCTAGAGCTATACCTAAAAAAGTATGGGGTTGAGTGATCGACTAACATAAATCAAAATATGTTACTAGAGCTAAAAACAATAAATAAACAAAAAGGTAAATAGAGAAAATAAGATCAATAGTCCCAAATATAGATACTCTCCTTTCACTTCAAGTTCTCTAAAATCATTCTTTCGACCATCTAATTGAAGAAGTAACCATTTTTTATGATTCTAAATTTCTAATTTGTGTTTGCCTATTTTGTTCCCTCATTCTCCTGCATACCTCATCTCCCTACCTCTCAACAAAAAAAATAATTATTAAATAAGTAAGTTTTCATTGATAACATAATTTGTACTTATTGTAAAAAAAACATAATTTGTACTTCGTATATTGTGTTTGTAATAGTGTATAGATTTTTAATTGATATATTGTATTGCCAAATTTATTGGGAGAAATAAATATACACTTTTCCTTTTCATTCTTGAATAGCTGGGTAATAATTCATGAGAGTTTTGAACCCAAAAGACAGTTGATGAATGATAATGCAGTTTTTAAGGCCATTTATGATGCTTGGGATAAAGTGAATGAAGAAGGCGCCATTAGAGAAGTTGGAAAAGTAAAGCTCATCATTCCCAATGGAAGTTTCATTCCCACTCTTTCTAGGAAGTTGTTACTCCTGCATGGTAAATATGCTATTTATCTTCTCGGTGTTTTTCTTTGGCATTTAGAATGAAAACAAAAAGAAAATTTAAATCTGATCTTACTATATCCACAAAGAATTTACGAAGGCCAGTAAGATATAGAACATGACACCTCTTGTTAACCACGTCCATTAGGGCTATGGTTAAACACTTTTAATTAATATTACGACCGTTCTGCTTTTCTTTTATTACCAAGAAACATGAAACTCTGAAAGGTAAAAATTCCTCAACTAGGAGAAAAAAAGTTTAAAGTTTTTATTCCCAAAATAAGAGTAATAACTGTCAACTTACTTTCAATCTTTAAAGTATGTATTACCAAAACATGATAGTAATTACTAATTAGTCTTGTTTTGTTAATAAAAACATGATGACTCTATTTTGAAACATACAACAAGTTTTAGTTCCATTTAAGGTAATTTCCCAACTATTAATCAATTTCTAATAAAAATTAATGCAATACTGATCATATTCTAAACGTAAACAAAACCATCTTACAGTGTTCGTAATTAAATAATTAATAGACTTCATAAATATTGCTTTATTCTTTTCATCCAAACGGGATTTCCCCGTAAATTTGACGAAAAATCTCTCAACCTCTTATAAACGATTGCATTGTATGTACTCCAAAAAAGAAATGGACTGTTGTGTAATTAAATCATACCCCATATGTGTGGAGATGTTTTTATTTGGGCTTTTTTCAATTCAAGACCAAATCAAAGCAGACCAAACAAGATCATACATGCCAAACTAGATTAATCTGAACAGAACCAAATCAAATTTACAGTTCAATTAAAAACATCGTAAACTCTGTTATGCCTTTTGTTTATGTATACTCTCTATTATGTAAATATCTTGTACATATATTTAATTGATGTGGTGTCCATAATCCACAGATTACAATGGTACCATAAACACTGGCTTGGGTAAAAGGTTTGGATCAAACTCCACTTCGGGTCCGGGTCTGGGTTCGGGTTTAGGGTCAAAGTCAACGAATAGAATGGATGAGGGAGCATGCGGATGCACGGACGACGATATAGAAGTTGACCAGCAACAAACTAAGCCGATGCCCAATGGCATTCCAACCTACACGGTGGTGATAAATAACCTCTGTGACGACGAAAGCTGCAGCATTTCGAACATCCACCTCCACTGCGGCTGGTTCAGCTCCGCCCGGCTCATCGACCCGTCGGTCTTCCGCCGTGTCGGATACGATGATTGCCTTCTCAACGACGGCGCGCCACTCCCCTCCGGAGGTTGGATCTCTTTCATGTATGCTAATACATATCCCTACCCACTCGAGGTGGCATCTGCGTCATGTTAGCTAGCCTTTCAAGTAGAGTAGCGGACTTTAAGTATGTTTTTGACCATGTATAATGCATGACTTATAAGTACACTTTCGAATTTTCAATGCACTAAAAGTGTAGTCGATCAGATCATATTCATATTGTTTTGGCATTGGGGAATTTGATTTTGCGCCCTTTTTATCATTTTCAATGGAATCAAAGATTCATATTTTTTTGGTTTGAGAATATAATGAAATAAAGTAAAATAACTTACTAAACTGTATGCGCTTCTTTATTATGAAGTAACAGTCAGTCTTAACACAACAATCCAATTGAAGGACTATGTTGGATGCGAGTGCTTTACTCACTAAATATTTCTAGCAAGTTAGGTATATATCTCCTATTTCAACTATTACAATTTCTAAATTTTTCATTAATTATCAAAGAAATGTGATGTTTAATTTGCTCAACGGCTCAACCGAATAGAAAACACAATTATTACAAAATATATATAATTAAATTTTTGTAAGCATTGTCATGTTTGAAATTCCAGAGCTTAGATTCTGCTATATATTTTATCAATCCCAATATATCTGAAGAGGAATCTCAATATAATCTTAACACACAAATATATAAATTGAAACAACATTTTTGTTTGTACATCATCTTAAGTATTGCACACCAAAGTAGCGAGAGTAAGTTTTGTACTCTATACTTGAATTTTCTAAAACAGAGCACTAACAATGTTTTTAAAAATATTAGATCAGACTGAAACAGATCATACCAGACTTCAACAGATGTAAAACACACATAGACTAGACATCTACTAGAACAATTCAAATGAAACCAAATGAGATCAATCTGAATCTTTCGAACCTGGTCTGATCTAGATCTCTCCGATTTGGATCTTTTTTTTAATGTACAAAATAAGCGGTACAATGTTGTTTTACGTGAACAATTAATCTCATATATAAAATATTTAAGGATGACTAACTTTTCGAACATGTTTGACAATCAGTACTTAGCAGTTAGCTGATTTTGTCCGCGGGTAATTTATATCGGGTTTAATTGGAATATTTGTCTACCAGATTAAATTTGGCGGGTTGCGAAATGATGTTCCGTAATTAGATGTTCTGTCTAAGCGGTTAATAGGTAAAATGACATATAATGGCGTTAGTAAATTATAATAGCAAGTTAGGTATCTCCTATTTCAAGTGCTACAATTTCTAAATTTTTCATTAATTCTAAAACAAAAGTGATGTTTAATTAGTTCAACGGCTCAACCGAATAGAGAAAACAATTATTATAGAATTTGGGGAAAAGTACGGAAAAGGAACAGAAATGTACTTGTGGTTAGGTCCGTTTTTAGATAGGGTTATGTGTTTCATTTTTTATCAAAGTAGTTCATGTGTTTGAATTCCGTTATCACAAGAGGGTCACGTCGTTAAAAATGCCTGAGAAAGACGGTTAATAGTAACTCCAATTTTTAAAAGTGTCCGAAAAATTTAAAGAAAAATAGCGAAAGGTGCGTCTCAACAAGACAACCGTTTGTCCATCTTTCTTTCTTTTTGTTTCCAGCCATCCTTGTCACCGGAAAGTCCACCGGAAAAGTAGCGGAAAAGTAATAATAGTGAAATCATTTTTTTTTTTAAAATTCAAACATATCCGAACAATCCAAAGGCGAATTGAAGATGGTTTGGAGGTCATCTTGACGAGGCACACCTTCCGGTATTTTTCTTTTAATTTTCCGGAGACTTTTTAAAATTGGGGTTACTATTAACCGTCTTTCTCGGGAGTTTTTTACGGCATAACCCTCTTGTGATAACGGAATTCAAACACATGAACCACTTTGATAAAAAATGAAACATATCACCCTATCTGAAAACGGGCTCAACCACAAGTACCTTTTCCGTACATTTCCCGAGAATATATATTATCAAAATTTTGTATGCATTGTTTGAAATTTCAAAGTGTAGAGTCTGCTATATATTTTTATCAATCCCAATATACAAGTGAGCTCTGACTTAGATACTTGCAAGTTCCCTATGTTTGCATTTTACATAATAACCTCTCATCGCAGTAGTTAGAATTCGAATTCCAAATTTATTTCTTATAACACTCCTTATCTACTAGTTGAGCTGCATCTAGTAGATCGGTAGATGCAGCTCAACTACCGAGGAGAGGCACGCACCTTCCCTGCCTGATGTTGGGGAGAGGCACGCACCTTCCCTGCCTGATGTCTGGGGACGCTAAGAGTTTCTCTGCCTGATGTCCGTGAGATGCCCAGCTTCTTTGCATGATGTCGGGAAGATTCTCAGCTTCTCTGCATGAAGTCGGGGAGAAGCATGCACCTTCCCTGCCTAATGTCGGGAGATGCTAAGAGATTCTCTGCCTGATGCTGAGGAGAAGCAAATACTTTCCTCATCTGCACCATATCACTTGGAAGAGTAAAGGCAAGAAGCCGATCATCAGCAGAGGGACAGGACCAGGCCAACAGAAGTTTGGATTGCCCTGCATCCCAGCCAAAGCATGAAAGTTATCTACAAAGGTCTGCCCTTTGCTGAAGGAATGGTTGAGATCAGGCGTGTGATGAAGAAATCATCGTCATCCTAGAGGATGGCGGGTTAGCTCGATTGTAGAATCAGGACAACGACATTTAGTCCGGTCGTGATGAATCTGAAGTAGCAATCATCATCTAACTGAAGGAGGATCTGACCGATCTTGAGATGGGAATGATGGTGTTGAGCCGGTGCTGACGTAGGTGACGATGGGGGGTGATGGCCTATTTATAGGCATCCACCAAGCATAAGCTCGTAAGTTGTTCGGCCCACACCCCGACAATAACAAGAGGTGGCAGAGAAAATGGGTTCGGGCATCTGCTCCCGTGGCGTCCCCCATCACGGTCACCTGGGGTATCCGGATGCGCAAGTATAAATCTGTTTCCATCTCTCCCGATCTTCAGAGAAAGATCGATGTTCTGTTCCAGGGGAGTCCTTTCCCGATCACCTCGCATCTGGGTGAGTTTCGTACTCAGAAAATCCCCCATTATTCTAAAATATTCCTCCCTGCTCAATTCTGCTTATTCTTTATCACAGATACTACGGGCAGGGAAGGCGCCCCTTGCTGCTCCTGCCGCAGTGCAGGACACTAATCCTCGGCTTTCCATATCTGATGCTGACCCATCCAATGTTGGACAGAAGCGCAGGGCTTTTCCATCCAGTGTTGTAGGAAAATATGCAGCTTCCCCGCCTCGTGAAGAGAAACTTGCTGGGAAGAGCAAAGGTATGAACTGCTTCTCCGGTCGGGTTAGGGAAGGCACCCCTACCCGTCCAACTCCAGCTTACTTCGTTTGTTTTCTTGCAGATGCAGCCGGTCGGGAGAATCACGTAGCTTCCCTTCCTGATGCTTGGGAGAAGCATGCAGCTTCCCTGCTTCACAAAGTACCACCTGCCGGGAGGAGCAAAGGTTTAAATTGCTTCTTAAGACGGGTAAGAGGAATAATCCTGTTAGTGGGTACCAGGCTTACTTCGTTCATTTCCTTGCAGATACGGTGGGCTTGCTAACCTGGCAACGTAGAAAGATGCTAAATCTTGCCCCCCGATATCTCACTCAGGTTCCGATTGTGCTAAGGAGAAGCGCAATTCCTCCCCCTCCAGTGAGGAGCCATTTGCTAAGAGGAGCAAAAGTGTAGTCTGCTTCTTAGGGTAGGTAAGGGAAATAACCCTCCTTGTTGGATCCCTACTCACCTCGTTCGTTTCTTTGCAGATGTCCCAGGTCGGAGAAGCGAACTTGCTGCCTTGGCTGCAAAGAGAGATGCTAAGCCATGTTCCCTGTCATCTGATCTTTTTTCTCTGCAGGGACTGATGGATCTAGCCGCATTGCTCCGTGCTATGAAAGATCAGCGTACGGAGCTCCAGCGTCAGGCTGATGGAGCCCATCTTCAGGCTACCCAGGCTCGTCAGCATGCGAATGGAGCTGAGGCAGCCCCAATGATACTTGTTGCATGCAATGAACATGATAAGAGAGCCCTGATCGATCTCCAATCAAAGTGTGACCAGCTGAAGTCCGAGTCATTTGTTGATGCAGCGCAACAAGCAATTGCGACATTCAAAGCTTCTCAGGAGTTCTCCGAGCTTCCCGCTTCCCGGACTAAGGATGTGGGGTAGCAAGCTATTGCAGCGTTCAAAGCTTCCCAGAAATTCACGAAGCCCGTTTCTTCCCAGACGTATGCTCTCCGCGCAGAGCAAGTTTGTGATTGGCTTCAGACCAAGGAGGGTTGCAATTGGCACAAATAGATGTCTTGTTCTCTTCTAGTTGTGGCTGGCATGATACGTAGACTAGCAGTGATGAGACGGAGAAGATCGGCAATGTTGATCTCGGACTTGCTCTCCATGATTGATTTATCGTTTGAGCTTGTATGTATGCACCATTCGTTCTTTCAATTTTCTTAGTCGTTTTTATTCAAGAATACTTGGACAACTTATCGGGGATCTGGCTCCCCACCTAGGCCACGAGGGGCGGAAAGTTGACAAGGTCAACCTTGACTGCGCCCTACTAGGTAAGGCGGGGCTGACCCGCACACTGTCGGTCTAGGACCAACGAGTTGTGCAAGCTGTTTGGCCAGCGATTGGACAACGGATGTACGAGAGGGGCTCGGGGCACGACCTCTCGCATACCTTCGACCCGGAGGTCGGTCTTACACCACATTGACTTGTACAACTAGTTTCATACTTAGGAAATATTTTGGTTGTTCCCTTTCTGAAAGTCGAACCGAAGTCGGCCAAACGTAAGGGCAAGGCCCTGCATGATCAGACCAGAACGGACCCGCACCGTTGATCCTGTCAAGCGCGTATGCGGGCTGCTAAGCCTACCAACGTCAGACAACGGATATACGAAAGGGGATCGGAGCGCGACCATTCGCATTCCTTCGGTCTGGAGACCGGTCATATAGTTGTCGCATTGTTGACTAGATCATACGTGTATGCGAGCTGTTTAGACAGCAATGCTAGATAACGGATGTATGAGAGGGGCTCGGGGCACGACCACTCGCATACCT